TATCTAATTAAGCACTAATTTTCGATAAAATATGAATGTGAAAAATCGATATCTTACGAGCTTGGTAAAAGGGGGTCATGGAACATTTCGTGCGAATTTTAAACAATTCTCAATTGCGCACTAACGACCGGTTTTTATTATTTCACACACACCGCTCCTGTTGTTAAATGATTTCGTGTATGTAGTATATATATATAATGATATCCGAGTGACTAATTAAACATTAGGTTTTTAAAACGCAATTTATATGTCGCGCGCTTATATTATGTTGCAGATAATAATTGAGGGCGTATAATTGCGATACCGTTCATTGTATTTATATACTGGTGTTTGGGAACCGGCAAAAAAATTATAATGGCGAAACGTGCCGAGACGTGAGATCCGGTGAGAAGGAAATAAACGAAATTATTTAATCGTTGCCAAGTCATGTCGGACATGATATATTTTACATACAAACGACTTAACATGTTTATAAAAAGACGTTCCGTGACGATCATTGTCGTGCACCTGTGTACCTATATATATGTATATATGTAGGTATATAGTGTGATTATCATTGAACACGGTCACCTCATTTTTCCGTTCGATAGATCTTTATTGATTTTTGGAATATTTTGAATTGTAAGTGCACTCAATACCGGCATATGTGTCATGGGTAAGGAGCATGCAGTACTGTTTGAATTTTTTTAAAAGGCCATTCTGTAGATATCTTTTATTTTCTTACAAAAATGTTTAGTACGAATATATTAAAATCAAGTATAAATTGATTAAAAGGACGCCAGCCCACAATTTAGTAAATATTTGTTTTCTCTCTCTGCCCCACGTGGTAATTTTTTGTTCGGCAGAACCAACTCTGTGCTGTTTTTGGTTAGCATATTAGTATTGGAGTGAATTGACCTGAATATTATTAAACTTTAAGAAAACGCTACACACGGACAATAATTGTTGTCTCCGTCTTACAAGTGCGCAACATCGTAAATTGTACGTTTGGTCGTGCGATCAAAAAATAACATAACCGATCACATATTATATACATCTATCTATCCGCAATACATCGACTGCATACTGATTAAATTTATAACAATAATATGTACCTATATAAATTGATGCGTAGTTATTTTTTATTAGTGAAGATTTCAATACGGTTTAAAAATCGATTCGTTTTTAAAAATATCCCAAATTCAATAATTGATTCTTACTGAATCTTTCACAAAGTATTGTTTAGTTTAACATATATAGGTGTCATAACTTTATTTACCTAGCGCGTTATTGCTACCCCGTATATATATAGGTATAGTGAAACATCCTCTAAAGGACACCTCCAAAAATCCGACGCTTATTTTTTCATAATAATATGCAAACTTTCCACAAACTGAACCCTCTGAATAGCGGACAAAAATTCTAGTGACCTAGAGTGTTCGGTATCAAGATATACATTTCGCTGCAGTATTATATTGTATACTCGTATTATTAGAATCATTGCAAATGTCTAGGAACAAACTTAACCTATATTCGGTGAATTTGAATTAAATTGAAATGGTTTATGTAATGTTAAGTGTAGAAATAATGACACTCATAGGTGGCTATTCGGAAAGTTCGAAAACTTCAACTAGACGAATTGGAATTTTTGAAAATTCTGAATTCCACAAAATGTTTTCGCGTGTATATTATGTATGGATTCCTGTAACATTTGATAATAATGACTTTTAAATACAATAACAAATTGATTTTTGCCACGGTAGAGACACTATAATAATAATTATATCCGCGACTTTTCTGACATTTTCTATGGGCACCTCCGAGACGCCCGTTTGTACATAATACCATATATTATCATATAAACGTACATTTTAGGCGCCGTCGGTTATTAAAGTATTATAGGTAATTACAACGTTCAAGGGCGAATCGCGTGTATCGTGTTATTACAACTGCAAGTAAGTACCTCCAAATTCGAAATAATTGCCAAAGCGTTTTCGCATAATATTGCGGTGTATACCTGCCCATGTATAATAAAACACATCATGTAAGCACTATAAAGGCATCTTGTTGTGTCAATACATCATAATTATAGTAATATGATATTCGTGTACAGACGCGTATTACGTCAAGCGTGCAGCGGACGATTATAGCAGTCGGTATGAAGGTATGGGTAGGCATAGGTTACCTATAATACGTGTACGTACCTATATATTTTTGGGTAGTTGCAGTTGTGTCAGACGACCATCGTCGGCACCCGAGACGATTACACCGCTTCCGGAGTACATAATAATATAATAATAGCATACAATACATGCGACGACCGATTATTATGAAATTTGCATAATTTTGTTACAAAACAGCCGAAAAACAATTTGGAAACCGTTTAAGGACCGAGCGTTCTCGTATTTTATACACTTACATATAATATTGTGCATGGCGTATCGGTTCGAAGAACACGATTCGCATATATTATTACGTATAATGGTGATTATTTATATATATTTAGGCATATACCTATACGTGTAGGTTTATAATTACGACGAAAATATTAGTAATTATTGTTATTATAATTATTTATTATTGTTCTGAACCATTGAAGAACGGTTAGGAGTAAGAAAAAAATAGTAAATATTTAGCCGTCCCGTCGAAACGTTAGAACGTTATGTTCATCGCGGGGTCAGGCCCCAAGGTTCACTTTGAGTGTCTCCTCCTTCCTCCACCTACTCCTCCACCATTCGTCATCTTCCTCCTCGAGATCGATTTGACTTTTTGGACGAAAGTCTATTTTTTTATGAGTGAAAAAATAGTGCTTTCCACTTTTTAAGGATAATTAAAATTACTTAGAGATATTTTTATCTTGATGACTGATGTACACACCTATAAACATTACACTATAGTTTATAAGTACAACTATTAAGTACAGTCAAGCCAGTTAAATTATTATACAATTACACACTCATATTGAATTATTATTTAATTTGATAATTATTATTCCTTTAATGTAAGAGCGAATTTGTATCATTTTGGATTAACAGTCATATTGTGTGCGTTCATACATTTTATGTTTTCATTTTTTTTATAAAAAAACCAATATTCAAGATTCCACCAATTGATATTCAAACTAGAAATCGAAGAATTTGGCTTTCAGGAGCGATTCCAGTACAAGAGGGGCAACTACTTACTTAAAATAGAAGGCAATTCAAAAAAATGATATTTTATAAAATCTGAAATCAATTCGAGTATGCCCCCAAGTATACGATCCTGAAATATATACTCATTGTATATTCAGTGTTGAGAGTATATGACAATTAATAATATGTTATCTAAATTTATTTACATTTTAAACAATGTAGATAGCAATAACATTACAAAAATAAACAACTTCTCCAAAAGAAAGGCCATCATTTATTATTTTTACAAAATACAAATTCAAAGGTTAATACGTACCAACCAAGCTCAAACTAATTCCGTTTAAATCTTAATTCATGCCGATTTGGGCCGGGAGAATGCACATTTGGGGTGCAGCCATGACATCAAACATTCATGAAATCTAAACTTTTCAATCCGTCAAAATCCGTTTGTACATTGCGAGCATCCCCTCTTATTAGTTTCAAATCTTATACTTAATTCCCACCTCGACATAAACTTTATTTTCAAATATGCTTCCTTATCCAGATGCATTTCCAAATTGTTCATATAAAACCTAAACTGAAATACAACCCTAGCCAAGAAGCATTCACCGCTGAGTGACTTATTTGTATCTGCCTATACCATGCGTTTTTTATTCTCTATTAAAATATTATGATTATTGTAAACTGTTATTTTTTTTTACAGATTGAGTAAGTTTATTATGATCTTATTAAACATTAAAAATCTATAATATGATTAATGAATTCTAATTTTTTTAAGCGTGCTGAAATAAATTATTGAAACATTTTTTCAACATAAATCTAAATCATATGTTTGGTATAGTACCAATTATAGCTACCTCTGATTGATGAACGTCGAAGCTTTGATTTATTTACCAGCTCTAACAGCAACCTAACCTAACCATTACGTTTGACCTAAGTGATACGAGCCGGGCTATTAGCGCTTGGTTTGGCACTAAAATATTGGAACGTCACGATTTAATTTTAATTTCTTATCAATTTAAGTGAATTATAAGTTTTCTAATTTTTATTCTGATCGGCGTCTTACACCGTGACAATTTAAATTGTATTCCTGTACTGATGACTCGTCTGAGACAACCTTAAAATTATATTACAATCCGTATGATATACTTATCCAGACGGCTCTCACCAGATAATATTTTTCATATTCAGCCTCCGTAAGCTGGTACCAGTATCGTAAAACATGATGACGTAATTTTCACTTCGTGCCGAGAATCGACGACTTTAACCGATAGATCGCGCTTTTTGATACTATCATTGCGGTTGGTTCTCAAACACTGGAAAACATTGTAACTTTTTGCGGTCTTAAACAAATATTACTACAAGCTTGTGATTTACGCCCTTCTCCTTGTATTGATAAATTATGAAGTATAATTGAGCGCACTACGAGCATACAAAAAAATATTTTTAAATTATATAGTAGACAGATACCCGTGCTGCAGATGCCCAAGTTTAATAATATACTCAATCACTGCAGAACACCGTTTCGTGTCCAATACTGTCTATATTTTTTATCTTTGTTTTCAACTTAGTTAAGTGTTATCTTTATCTCGTCATTTACGCTCACCATAGTCCGATCAAAGCCAAATTTTTTCGTTAGTGCCTTCTTCGGCGCTATTTTCTCCAGCAACACCTAAGAAGAAATCACAAGTCGTGATGTTATGACACTTTTATTATTATAAACCTCAACTGTTCTGCACATATCTATATTATATAGTATTAGGTTGTAAGATACCTACCTATAATATGCAGACTAGAAACGCAACCACCTAGATGGAGGGAGCCGAGTAAATGGTGAAAACAAAATAGGATAACCCGTCTCCGGCGTTAAATAATAATAATATTATAATATTGTATGGTATAAGATTTTTGTTTATTTTTCTTCAATAATAATAATAATAATAATAATAATAATATCATGCATACATATAATTACATATAGGATCCGTTCGGACAACGATAGTTACATATTGTTATATGTGCACACAATTATATTCAATTTCTGCTTACAAACAACAATTATAATATATATAATATTATTACCTATGGATACAAATGAAAGACAACGGGAGTGAGACGCAGTGTGCACGAGCGCCGGAAACCGGCGAGGCGCACATTTATATGCCGCGAAGTGTATTATGTTATATATATAAAGTACGATTGATAATAATATATAATATCATATAAAAAAACAGCTCTAAAACTATACAATATCATTATGGGAATAAAATGTGTTAATATACAATAATACAAGAGGGGGATAAATATCGAGGACCGCGGGGAGAGGAGTCTATACAAAATTATTATTATAACAATGGAGTTGATATTATAAAGGTAAAACGCGTTTGCGAATATACTTACAATAAATATACTGAAGACATGGCATCATAAGTATTTGGGCAGTGTTCTTGTTTTGTTTTGTTTTTTAATCATTATTGTATTATTGTTAATACGAAAAGAAAATATTATATAATTTAAAGTATAATGAATTGACATACACACATATAATTTTGCAACGATTGTTCAACGAACTTCTGTTTTTTCCTTTTAAATTTAAAATAAATACCTCAAAGTGTTTGAATAAAAATTAATTGTGTATTTACATAATATATATTATTATGTTATAATAATTTTATTATATAATAAAATAAATATTTAAAAAATCTAATTTCTACAGTAATAAAAATTTTGGATCACAAAACGCTTATAATCAATAGTCTTCCAATAAATTACATTATATTTGGGTATTTTTACAATTTTTTTTTTAATTATTACAACTTAAACGCTCTTGCGCGTTAAGTAGGTACATGTCATAATAATTGTTTTTTTTATTTTTATTTTGTGAATCGAAGAGAGAGATGACCATTTTAACAATATTTAACATCAACATCATTAAATCTAAAGTGTAATAATATTATCTACTAATTAATACTAAAATTAAACTAATGGCTAAGAACACTATCTACTTAAATACTGTGTATAAGAGATCAACCTAATAATAATAATAATTTTAAAAAAAAACCTTATCAATTCAATAATTTACAAATTACATAATATATTGTATATATTACGATTCGTTATGAGGAACCGTATAAAACACAAGAAATGCCATAGATTTATTAGATAAATATATAATTCAATAGATAAAAAAAAAATAATGGCATTATCACAGAAAACGCTTTGATGGGCGAAACGAGGATCGCTGCCGGGAGGAAATTCGCAAAGAATGGTTTAAGCTCGAAGCATATGAAAGGCTCCGACAGCGTCCAAGTTTTATTTAACACCACAGAAATGCTTTTCAAAATAATAAAAAAATGTAAAAAATAAGAAAACCAAAAAAAAATAAATACATACTATATATATATAGGTAGTTATAATAACCCGTTGCATGCGCATACAAGCGTATTATAATAAGTTAAGGTTAGTTTATTTACAAAGCGATCATAATATCGATATTTTTTTTATGATTCCTCGACGCACTAAGTGTCAAAGTATGAATTATATTATTGTAATATATAGTTGTTATTTTTACAGTGATGTAAACTATGTTAGAACCGGATCTCGACGTTCGCCAAATTATAATATAATATACCAGCTGGTATACCATATCACCTCATATTATGACCTATACCATAATTATTAGTAGAACGAATAGAAACAAGAGAATAAACGTCCACAGAGAATTCAATTTTTTTTCTTTACCTGTTAGATGATAACCAAATTTACGGCGAAATTCAAAAAAACGAATAATAATGACTCGGCGCGAGTGTGTGTGTATAAATAAAAAAATAAAAACGCATATTTACAGTGAGCAAAAATAATAAAAAAATTAATACAATATAGCATTTCGTACTAATTCAAAACCGCCGCGGCAGGGAAACCCCGCCGTCGCAGTAGTGCCGTTCTGAAGCTATAGTTTTATAAAAACGAGATCAAAACGTGAATAGGTCTGGGACTGAAACCGCAGAATTCCCATGTGAAACGACAAATTACAACAGATGAAGCATAGAAATAGAGAGTAATTACAAAAAAAAAAATAGGTACATACTTATACAATAATGTTGATGTTATACAAAAAAAAAATGTATTAATAATAATCGACAAGAAAGCTCATACACCCAAATGCAGCGGAGGTTGCAAATGAGTATACCTACAAGCGCATTCAAGTCGATGACAATATTAAAAAAATAATAATAATAATAATTAAATTAAAGATAGGTTATATTATAATATAGTATAAATTAATACTACATTTGGCTACGGTTACGATCATCTCACATTCATGTAATTGAGATCAACGGTCGATTTGATTAGCATTAAAATTAAAATTTGTTTTAGTCACTAAAAACCGTGACTGGAATCATGTTTTAGAGTCTTTTTATATAGGCGTGGAAAAAATTGTTTTTTTCTCTATCTCTCTCTCTCTCTAATTCTTAAAACAAAATTACATTATTGTTTGATGAACATTTTCCAGCCGATGATAACGAACATGGCTGTGAGTACGGACGATTCGATTTTCGACGGCTGAAGCAACGACATGATTCGCCGTTTTACTTTTGAAATCTTATTCTCGACAACCATCGGTTCTTCGTCCTGCAAACACACAGAATCGCAAACTGTTATAGATTAACCGATCATAATAAAATAATTAAATAGATGTGATTGAAAAACAAAATAAACGCATCTATACACCTATGACATGTATCTAATGTGTGATTTAAATATAAAGACGGATATAATGTTTTGTTATAACAGTTGTGGTATTTGAGGCAACGGAAGAGCGTGCGCGCGGATAGATAGCCCACGAACGGGTCGGCAGAAAAGCGATGTTATTTTTCTCACGCCTCCGACGACGGTTTAAAATATGGATAGATGGGTTATATTATTATGATATGTTATTTTATATTATTTTCGACTGCTGCGAGTTAAAAAAAATTCATCGTACTATATGTTATAATGTATCGACGAAAAAAAATTGAATCGGCCAACTTCGCAGCGGGTGTATATGTATAAACGGGGTAACGAACAGGTTAGGTGGTGGTGGTATATTGTGGTATATTTCGGTAGATGGTACTCACGTCGCGGTTGTTGGTCCAGCGGATAGGATTGCCGTTTTCGTCCAGCTTGGCGACGGCGATCACCTTCAGCTTGCGCTCCTCGCTGTAATAGCAAGTCGGGCACACGGCGACCTGCAGCTTGACGGCCCTGGCAATCTTGTCTTCGATGTCCTCCTCCTCCGCGGACTGTTGCTGTGCCTGCAATTGCTGTTGCGGCGGTGACGGCGGTGGCGGTGGAGGCGGCGGTGGCGGTGGATTCGCTGACTGCTGGCACGATGTGACCAAGTCGGGCAACAACGATTGCTGTTGCTGTCGCTGTTGCTGGCGTTGTTGCAGGCGTTCGCGCACGCAGCGGCGGTTGAACGCGCGGGCCGAAGCTTGCTGTTGCTGTGCCCAAAGACGATCGCGTACTTCCTCCGAATACGGTGGAGGACCCGAAGAAAATATGCTGATGTTGGTGTACGGATAGTTTGTCGGATCACCTGCGAGACGCAAAAAAATTATAATAAAACATTAATATTATTCAGATAATAATACCGGCACAATATTTTTGATATTTAAAAATCAATCATTTCGAGTCATTATAGTATTTGGTAAATATTTAAATTCTTAACAATAAATATTAATTATAATATAATATAGTATGTATATATAACATTTACGTCGTTTGAGTATCAATAAATGTAATAATAAAAAATATACTCGTCTATTACATAATATAATTAAATTAATTAAGTATTATGTATTTTGTATACATTTATGAACAATCAAAATGTAATGGAATTTTTTCGTTCGCGCTCCAATATTTTATTTTTACTTATTCCACAAGTAAAAGTACAGACTAAAAATCCACGATAACGGTGGCAATAATTATAACAATAATAAATCGTAAGACTTTAGGGAAAAAACAATAAAAGACCGCGCGTGGGCGAACGGCGGTCTCGGCCTTGGAGGCACTTGTTGGCAAATTATCGTGTCTTTTGTCGAGCGAGCAAACAATAGGGGCCTCCGAATTTCGCAAAGAATATAATAGACGCCATGCGGCATGTGTCTTGTAAATTATTTTACCACTTTTTACCTCTTTGGGAAAAAAAATCACGACGGTTGAATGGTATATGTACCTACCCATAATAAAAGTCGCGTGTCCCTACATACGTTTTACCGAGTCGAATATCGAAAGGTTTTTAATTTTTTTTTTTCCCCCGTTAAATCAAATAGATAATACGTGCACCGATGTATTATACGGGCACGCGCACTCAGACAAAAGAACAACGGTTTGGTTTTAAGGTGTCGCGTAATCGTATGGTAAATAAAATACGTGTATAGTATTAATATGACGTACACAAGTATAAACAATATTGTAATTATTATTAATTATATTATTATAATGTTATATTCACGAAACAAGCGCGCAAACAATTTGACGTAAAAATAAATTACAGTCTATAGTCAATAATTAAACAGTTTATCAATTTTTTTTTTTAACAAATGAGAGACCTATAGCTTATTGGTGCGGTATCGCGAGTACTTATTTAAATTTTTAAAACAATATAATAAGTTGGAAGATATGAAAAAATATTTTTTTGCGCAATTTAGTTTTTTGTTGTTTTTTTCGTCTCTCTCGCGAAAGACATCTTGGGTTGTGCATCCTACGTAATATTACTATTATATTATACTAGGTACGAACGTGCGTGGAAAAAAATATTTATACAAAAAAAAAAATAATATAAGACTTATTATATTATAGGTACCTATATAGGTATTATTGGGTCGTTCACACGCGCTGCATCTATATTATATTATCGTCGCAGACTCTATTATATTCGTATGAGATATTATTCCGGTAAGCGAGTGAATATCGTAGAGTTGTATCGTGGTGTATCGAAGTATCGGACGCGTTCGCCTACCTGTAGGTAGAGATGTCGGGTGGGTGACCTTATATGTTACCGTGGTACATACGACGGCGACGCGACAGGTCCGGACAAGTCAGACGTCGCGTGTTACTGACCGGCCGATAAAATAATATTAGTTGATATTTTTTTTTTTTTTTTGATCATTATCGAATTAATTAATACTTAATTTTCGGTATATTAATATTATTTGTTTTTGTTCAAAGGACTTGTAAAATATTGTTTTAATTCGTTAATCTATACGTCGTGTTATATAATAAAGAACATATTTACAAATTATTATGTTATCGTTAAATATTTTATTTTATTTTTATTTTATGATATAATATTTAATTTTAAATCATGTTTTCGAATCTATGTACCACTGTACCAAAACATCACGGAAAAATGTACCGCTACTATTATTTCATTATTATTGTCAAATCGCAAATACATCATTTTTCCTCATTTCGTAAAATCTCGCGACAGCCGCGACGATTTGCGCAACTACCTATACATTTTTTTTAACACGTGGATATTTGTTTGTGCAATTATGTTTTTCGTCACAAAACGTTGCGACTAAATTTTTTTACGCCATAAACGCAATTTAATAATATACTAAAAATTAATTTTCGAATACAATAATTTTTGTACTTGTATTTTTCGCGGCATTTTTTTTTTCCGAAAATTCGCACAATTATTATTATTTATACTTGGAGACATATTAAATGAACTTGTCACATTTAAAATTTTACGCGTGGGGGTAGGTAAACTGCTGGGACTAGACGATAAATATTTTAAGTATAAATTAACATAAAAATAAACACTTACCGATCATGCGAGAGGGCATTCGGCTGAGCAGGGTCAACAGTTCTCTGAGCAAATTTTGAATTCGCAAATAATGAGCCATTGGTGTATCAGGATCGGGCTCCGGCATCACGAACGGTATGGCCATGATTGAAGCGGTTCGTTTTTTCTTCTTTTTTTTCTGACGACAAATCGCAATTGTTGGACTTTGAATTTTTTTTTTTCGTTCCGGAAAATTTTTTCACAGAATTAAAATACGAATAATTTATAAACAAAACAAATTGCGGAAAACGCAAAAACGCACTATACGAAAAATAGTCATGTAAACGTATAAACGAAAAAAATCAGTTAAGTCCGCGGCGGCGGTGACGGCGTTGCACGCGAAGAAGAGTGCTCGGAGAGCGGTTCCGATTCACTCGACACCCGGAAGAGTTGCGCGTAGTCCAACGACTGAAGAGCGTTCGCCGGTCGGACAGACCCTTTCGCTCGGGTCCGTTTCGCTGCTGCGGCGGCTGTGAGTGCGCGTGCGCGCGTCAGGCGACGGCGGTCGACGGGGCACGACGGGTACCGGCCGACAAGTAGGCGCGCGCGTGCGGCGGCGACTGTCCGGACTACGACGGCGGCGGCGGCGATAATAGTAATAATAATTGTCTGTCGTGCTCGGTGGCGCTGCACATGCGGCGGCGGCGATGTATGTAGCGATACTGATCGGCCGCCGCCGCCAAGCCGTGCGTGCGTCGACCCGTTCGGCGACGGCGCGCGTTTTTCGGCGGGACCCGAGATCCCGCGCTTTTTTCGGGCCAATCGCCGTCCGGCTGGGCGGCGGCGGTGGTGCGAGGGCCGCCCCCGCCCCGAGAGACCCTGCACCCCACCACCCCACCGATCCACAGAACGGTCGTCGTACCTGTGGCGGCGGCGACGTCATTTTCCTTCTGAAATAATATCAACGTAACACAATATTATAATATTATTATGCGTTCATCATGTATTTGGTGTTGTATTAATAATTATTATATCATTCTAAACTCGTCGTGTTTGTATAACAGATAAGTAGGTACCATATAATTGTTATAAGAGAAAAATCGTATTGCCGCGACAATCGTTTTCGCTCTCTTTTAAAATAGGCGTTAATAGACTATATTATACCGTCCGTATACTATACGGTATATATCAACATACTATTTACTTATTTTCATCTGATGGTGTACTAGCTGAATAGGTACTTTTTTTTTGATTTTAGTTATTTCGAGCGTATAAATTTTATATTAGATTTCGATAGATATGTAAATATTTTATACTTTACATAGGTATTTAACAGGTCGGACCAAATCCATGGAGTTATATTACTGCAATTTATAAACGTGTCTGTGTGGCCTATATTATTAACTTTCATACAATCATACGCCACTGTTGTCGCCAAGCTGTATTCCTATACATAACATAAACGCACACGAAGAATAAGAGGTACCTATATAATATTATGATTCGATATCACCGATAAAACGTGATTGAACTATTCACCATCACGCGCATCCGCCAGCCAGGCGATGCTGCACAGTACACACCATCATTAAATGTGCTTACATATATTTTAATATCAAATGTATTACTGTACGTATACATAAGGTATAGTCATATAAAATAGAAAAATGTAAATTCGAACGCTGAATATGATGATTTCATATAATACATTATAGCCATTTATAGGTAGCAACCTACCTTTATAACACCGCTAAGTAAAAATCATCCAATCAATTAAATTTTAACATTTAGTAATAGGTCTATTATAATAATATACGGCTTTACCTATAATTATAATATATATAGCTATAGCACTCGTGTTATATATTATTATGTAAAAATATTTACGAACGTGTTTCTGAATTTGAATTTCGGCTGGCTACTGTATAAGTACATGACCAAATAAATATTAATAATAATATACATCACGTTTCGTTTTTCTTCATCTGTTTCGTTTTAGTATGTATATGGCGAATGCTTAGCCCATGGCGGCATGCCACGAAGGTACCTATATAATACCGCATGCGACATGGCGTATCATATTTTACGAATCGCATTTTAAATTTACCCAATTATATACCGTTGTGTTTTCGAAAATTCTTATATTACTTATATATATTTATTTAGTGAATCTACATTATACATATATGTATAAGATTTTAAAAGTACACGATTCTATTGTTTTTGAAATTGAATGCACATGCGGATAGTTTATTATAATGGTTTTTTAATGTCTTTTAAATCCATCATCAAGTATAGGTAGCTATAATATGCCTATACATACAACATAGGTATAATATACCTACACTAAAATTAGTTATTTTAAATGCGTCTCATTTAATCTGAAAAAAACATTTAGGTAATTGTATACCTATATAAACTTACACATTATTGGTGCAGTACACAAAAATAAATTCTGTAATCGATTTCTTTAAAAGAATACATACAATAATACCTATTATAGGAAGCTACTTGTAAGTACTTAAACTGTAGATATATATAGGTATATCGTGTATCTGTAATTTTTTTGTATTTGTTATACAAACCAACTCCATCTTATCGCATAGGTGCCTACACTCTATATAATAGTAATATGAAAAATGGACAACATTAAAAACATTTATCATTTTGTTTTGCTCACGACGTTACATATAATGTATTATAGTTATGTAAAGTGAAAACTGAAAAGATAACGTTTTCTTATGTTCACCTCCGAATTATCTATAAACGAGCTGCAGACTCTTTTTCAGGTTTTTTGTCGACGCGTATATATTATATTATGCACAATATAAATGCTTAATTTATTATATGGCGCGTATTATAAATGCCCATTTTTAAGACAACAAAAATATCCCAGTCACAAATATAATATATTATAAATTTGTCGATAACGCGTTATCTTTTGCCACGGAGAGTAAATATAAAATATTGTCGCTCTGTGGTGTGTACTATTATGTTTATATACATCATGTTTATCGCATTTGATAAGCAACCATCATTAAGTGATGTATATAAACTCAAACCTGCAGCAGGGAATTATTATTTGTTGTGGAAATTCGAATACGATTAATATTTTCCATTACATTATTATATTATAATATGTAGTTATACGTTATCTCTGTGAGACTATAAAATGCGAGGACACAGATTATAACAAACAAATAAACGACTTGACACGAATAAATCACTTTTTTTAAAGCATCCTATTTCAATTAGGCCTTTGTCGACGCAATGGTATACTGCTGCAGGCTGATTAAAAAATAGATTGTTGAATCTCATAGCTATGAATAATCGGTTACGATAAAATGCAGAAACATTTTCGGCAGTTCAACAATTTAAAATCCCGTGTCAGTTGAGTATTTACATAATATTATACAAACATTTGTTGTTATTAAACTTTTTTTTTATATTATTAAGTAATACCTATAGGTAAAAAAAAATGGATCTTATCCCAATGGCCAAGTTGCCGAGGGTTATTTCTTTAATAAAAAGTAATAATAATAATAAATATTATAAAAATTAAAAATGATATTTTAAAATGTGAGTTATCTTATATACAGCCTATGGGTACCTACAAGAATGGCGTATTGGCGTATGTAGACCAATTTATTTTTACGACGCGTGCAGCGTATAAATATTAAAATCATGTACAATTAAAAAATAATATGATTGTTGTGCATATAGGCAATAGGCGTCTAATAGTGTATAATATATATTTGCTTAAAAACTCTACAAAAACAAAACACACACTTATTTACTTTGGCCAATAATTATTATATTACTATTATTGAGTATTGACATTGACATTTCAACGTTTCGCGGAGTACAAATACTGACGTAACATACGTAACGCGTTCTAGACACGTCGACGTCGCCTTTATGTGTTATTATTAATAACACAAGCGAGATGAAAGTAACGCAATATTGCTGCTGACCGCCACGTGTACGCGACAAGAAATATGTACACGATATTACAATACATACGTAATATGTGTAAAAATGAGACGAGTACATAATATACGTATACATTATGTAGGTATAAGACTGGTATAATATAGGTATGTAACCACATAGCTACCGGATTACCTATAATGAATGTATATTATGGTAAGCTAATAATGATATATAGTGACACGTCACACTCGCGCGTGTCGATCAAAGATCTCCTTTTTGTATATTGGTAATTTTTATTTTGGTTATTGTATAAATAATATTATAGTCTTACAGCGATATAGGTATTAATGGTAAGTGATTGTTTCTTTTTTTCCCCGTATTTTTCAGTGATATAGGTTAATATTGGGTACACATCGTTATTAAATTATGATTTCATGATTAATTACTGTGTAGGTACGTTAATTAAGTATAATAATTGTATGGTCAGTTTAAATTATACAAGCAATCAAAAACCAAATTGGGTATGTCGTATATTATATATGCAATTGAACGAATTCAAAACAATAAATACATGAAATATAAAAATTATTTATACAATTATACCTATATTAAACATTAGGTATGGTTTTGTACATTTCCATGAATGGGTTGCTATACATACATTTCATAAGGTTTAGAATATGATGAATTGTCCGATGGTTAACTATAATTACGGTGAATTTAAAACTATACGAGCAATTAAAAAATTTAATTGGGTGCACGTAAATTTAAACAAATATTAAAATATAAATATTTAAGCTACAAAAATAATTTACCTATTAAACATTATGGTTTTGTAAATGTCCCATGTATAAGTTAAGTTAGGTTCCTATACATACATTTTCCAAGGTTAAAAATTCACCTCCCTTTCTTAAACAAGTCACTTCATTGCTGCAGGGCTACTTAAAGAAGAATAAAAATGTTACGTACAGTGCACTATATTTTACCTATTGTATTAAATTACAGGATGGTTCTCTTAAAGATAAACACTAATTTATCATAACGTTGTAACTTTTTTAGAAATATTTGTCTTTAGATTAAAAAAGAACATAATTTAAGTCACTAGGAAACAACATTTAAAATATATACATTATACATACATAATAAATTGAAGGAACCTATACTATTTGTTATGGTACTATTATATTATTATAATTTTTGAAGTTTTTTTCACTTTTTCGATGGTGACTCACGTAGTCATATTTCAAAGTAGAATGTATTTCCAATAAATTCAAAATATAATAATGTAACATTTGAATTTTGAATTGCTAAAAGTTCATTAGTCGTAACAGTTCACTAAAATAGAGTGTGATGTATGTACCTATACCTTTTTAAAGGTTAGATGTGAGTTGAGCCTTTAATGTGTTTTAATTGTACTACTAAGCTACTTCACTTATATCTAAACTCGAATTACTTGCAACTACTTAACCAGCTAACCCTATATAAACAACATGAATATACATTTCTATTATAGTTTTTAATTTCCCATCTCTCCTAACTAGCACATATTATACATATTATATTACACATAATAATATTATAATGTATTATATTATCGCATCATTGTTGACGAAAGGTGAATAATTTCTTCCGGCAAATATACATTATATTATTATGATTACTTAGGCGTACCTATATGTCAGCTAGGCATTAACTGCAGTGTAGAGGTTAACAAGAAGATGGATAAACGCACGCAAGTTCGCAAACATCGTAATGTATATAACGAC